GCTTAGCATGCAGACCTAGCTACACATTTATATTGAGAAATTTTCAATCATTTGTGCTCTTCTCTGACACAGGAGATGTTTCTACCCTTGTGTGCTTCCTTTACTTATCTATTTTTATTTATATTTTTCCTTTTATTTCAACATATTCTTTTCTCATACAATAGATCCTGACTACAGTTTCCCCTCCCTCTACTCCCTCCAGTCCCCTCCTCTCATCTGGATGTACTCACTTCCAGACTCCTTCATTAAGATTGCCTTCATATATTTTAGGAAGTTTCCATTGCACTAGTTTCCATAGCACCCCTCAAATGCCTCTTAAATTTAGGTGTCTCTCTCCACATTTCCTCCCTCAACCTCATCTTTCCTCTTTCTCCCCACTGGATCTTCCCATTCCTGTCCTCCTTGGCCACCAGTCACCCAGAAAATAGACTATATTTTCCCCTCCCAAGGATATCCAGGTATCCTCCCAAGTCTTTTCCTTATGCCTAACCTGTCTGGGTCTATGGATTATAGCATGGTTATCATTTATTTAACAGATAATATCCACATGAAAGTATTTATCTTTCTGGGTTTGGGTTAACTCACTCAGGATGATTATTTTTTAGTTACATCCATCTGCCTGAAATTTCATGATGTTATTTTTTTTAAAACAGCTGAGTAACACTCCATGGTGTAAATGTACCACATTTTTCTTCTGTTGAGAGATATCTAGGTTGTTTCCAAATTCTGGCTATTATAAATAGAGCTGCAGTGAACATGGTTGAGCAAGTGTTTCCATGGTAGGATTAAGTGTCCTTTGGTATAGATGGATCTTGTGGTAGACTGACTTCTATCTTTCTGGGGAACTGGCATGCTGATTTCCATAGTGGCTGTACACTTTTGCACTCTGAAGAACAATGAATGTTCTTCTTATTCCATGTCCTTGCCAGCATGTTATTAAACTTGGCCATTCTAATAGGTGTGAGACAGAATCTCAAGTAGTTTTGATTTGCATTTCCTGATGTCTACAGATATTGAACATTTTTAAGTGTTTCTCAGCCAGTTCAGTTTCTTCTATTGACAATTATGTTTAGATCTGTACTCTATTTTCAAATTGGATTATCTGTTTTCTTGATATCTAGTTTATTGAATTCTTTATGTATTTTGGATATTAGTCCTCTATTGTATGTGGAGTTGGTAAAAAAAAACCTTTGCCCATTCTGTAAGCTTCCACTTTCTCCAAATGATGGTGTCCTTTGCCTTACAGAAGTTTTTCAGTTTCATGAGGTCCCTTTTATTGATTGTTGATCTTAGTGCCTGTGCTATCAGTGTTCTGCTCAGAAAGTCTTTTCCTGTGCCAAAGAGTTCCAGGCTGTTCCCCACTTCCTTCTTTATCAGGTTCAGTGTATCTAATTTTATGTTGAAATCTTTGATCCATTTGGACTTGGTTTTTTCAGGGTCATAAGTATGAATCTATTTGCATTCTTCTATGTTCGGTTTGACCATCATCATTTACTGAAGATGCTAACTTTTTCCAGTGTGTATTTCTGGCTTCTTTATCAAAATCAGGTGTCCATGTGTGTGGATTTATGTCTAGGTTTTCAGTGTGATTCCTTTGATTGACATGCCTGTTTTTATTACTATAGCTCTGAGTATGACTTGAAATGATGAATAGTGGGATCTGAAGTTCTATATGAAGCTTAGAATTGTTCTTATAAGATCTGTGAAGAATTGTGTTGATATTTTGATGGGGTTTCCTTTGAATCTGTACATTTCTTTTGGTATGATGGCCATTTTTACTATGTTAATCCTACCAATGCATCAACATGGGAAATATTTCCATCCTCTGATATTTTCTATTTCTTTTTGCTTTTTCTTTTCCTTCCTTCCTTCCTCCCTCCCTCCCTCCCTTCCTTTCTTTCTTATTTCCTTCCTTTTTTGAAGCAGGGTTTCTCTGTGTAGCTCCAGATATCCTAAAACTTGCTATGTAGGCCAGACCGGCCTCAAACTCAGAGATCCACCTGCTTCCACCTTCTGGAGTGCTGGGATTAAAGGCATATGACACCATGCCCAGCCAATTTCCTTTTTCCAAGACTTGAACTTTTTATCATACAAGTCTTTCATAAGCTTAGTTAGAGTTACACCCAGATATTTTATATTATTTGACACTATTGTGAAAGGCATTGTTTCCCTGATTTTTTCAGCCCATTGTCTGATTTTTGTGAGTTAATTTTGTGTTCAGCTATTTTGCTGTGTTTAACAGCTGTAGCCCCCTGATGGAAGTTTTAGCTTCACCATTGTTTTCTTTTTAAATGTTTGAAATTTTTCTCAAAATTCTCCTTTTCCTGTAGTATATTATCTTTATAATAGTTGTTATTATCTCATTGTCATCTATTTCTAGATCTAGATAATTGTTTTGCTTCTACCAACAGATTTACTCCTCTCTCTCTCTCTCTCTCTCTCTCTCTCTCCCTCCCTCCCTCCCTCTCTCCCTCCCTCCCTATTTCTATCTCTCTTCCCCCTCTCTGTGTGTATGTGTATAGAATTGTATTATTGTTTTTCTCTGAGCTCTGTTCTAGTACTAGTTTAATTAATAGTTGTCTTGATTCTAGGGAGGCTTTTTCAGAGCAGATCAAGATTTGCCTTTGGCTCTAAGCTATAATTTGATTCTGTAGCATGATCTCTACTGTGGCCAGAGAAAGTCCAATGTGCTTACCGCCTTTCTCACAGAGGTGCAGTTGAGTCTTCAACACCTTCTCACATACTTTTCCTCAGAATGAGGCAGTGGCTAAATCTTTACCCAGCTCTTTTGCCTTTGTGCTATTTTTCTCACATTAACATCCTGTACAATGTAAGACTCATCCCAACAAGGAAAAGGTGTCGGTTAGGAATTTCTCCCTGTGAGACACCTGCCTTCTCAGATTTCACTTTCCAATTTCCAACTACACTAGTGTCCTGAGAACCTAGTTTATTCACCCCATAAAACTGTTGCTTTCCGCCTGAGCACTGTCTAATGTTCAAACAAACAGTGAGAGTCTCCTGGGGAGAGCTGGCTAAATAAAATCAAGTCTCACCTTGATGACCTCCCCGTTGATGTGGCACTGTTTTCTCTGGTTTCTGCCTGGTTTTGTTGGTGTCTAGTGTCTTAAAGAATCTCACTTACTAGTGCATTGGATTTAAATTTGAAATAAGCGATATATCAGGTTCAGCACTTCTTAGAATAAATACATTTTAAGAGCAGACAAAAAAAGGCAAATAAACCTTTTATGGGGGTTAATTTTTCTGGTAACAACTTGCAAGCGAGACAGTACGGGCTCAGTAGTGGCCTTCTCAGTTCCTGTCAATATCAGTTCCTGTCAATAGTCTGTAAGAGGCGGTCATCTACTACTTTTGTCTGTTGCCCATTGAAATTTAATTTAATCTTTATTTACTGGACAAAAAGGTGGGAAGGCTTTAATCTCTAGAACACAGTTTTATCTGCTGTGTAACAATTACCATTCTCTCATTTAAAGACTATGCCGTCTGCCTGTATTACGTTCACTTCCCAGACTTCTCTGGCCTGATCAGATAACTGAGTGTCTAGGTCACATTTTTCCTCCCCTTATAACCTCAGGTCAGACTTTTAATGATGTGATTATTCATGTTGTATACAGCCAGTGACTAATGCTTCATGTTTCCTCATTCTCCCTGTCCCGGTTTTCTGCTTCTGCTTTCTCATTTGTTAATGATCAACAGGAACTTCACCGCAGCTCTGCTCTATGGGAGGCGGCCGGGGTCTCTAATCCAGTGTGTTCCTCTGTCTACCGCGTCTGTCTTGTTGCCCCCTCTTTTAATTCTGAGTATCGTCTCCCCTCCCCGGTACACGAGACCACCCTGCCCTACACATGCGCTAACTTTACGTCTTTTGCGCCCTTCACGTTGGCCTCTGCCACTTGGCTAATCTCTAGACCCAAGACGGAGGTGCTTGTTTACACCTGCTCTCAGAAAATGGGGGAGAAAAACAAGACATAAATCAAGTCCCTTTACTCCTTTTTTCCGTTCCTTTTCTTATATTTTACTTTTCTGATGCAGAGTCTTGCTATGTGGTCCAGTCTGACCTCAAGTCTCTATCCTTTTGCCGCAGCGTCTTGAATGGCGGGATTCAAGCATACATCAAACACAAGTGGCTCTCTCCTGCTAATGGATCGTGGAAGAGTAAAGTGTCCCTGCAGCTCTCACACTTTCTCCAGTAGGCAGTGATGGGATAGCTGATAGGCCGACTCCATGCTCATCCAGCTCTGCTATCCTCCCGCACGGAGCCTTGATCTGCCCTGATTTGATTGTCTTGATGTCTATAAAATAAGAAAAACACCCTAGAACTTGAAACCCTTACTCGAGGCCCCATCTCTGTGTTTCACCGGCCAGATTTGAAGTCACAGAGAAGCAAAATCCGGGCTATCGGTTGTGGTGGAAACGCGGGGCAGAAGGTCTCAGGATGGAGCTGAGACCCGGGCTGAGACCCGGCCTGCGGGCATCTAGACACTGGAAACATATTCAGCAATGGCCGACGCAACAGGAATTCCGGAGAGACAGCTCGGACAGAGAGAAACCCTGGCTGCTTTCTCCCACCTCGCTGAATCTCTCACTCCTGGACTCATGTCCTCTCCTTCCTTTTTTCCCCCATGTCCCCACGTTTCCCCAACAACAGGTCCCCAAACGTGACACAATCATTCTTATTTGATCCGCGTTATGAACCCAAACCTTCATCTGTATTTTTATATTTATTCAATAAAGTCTTAAGTTCTTGAATGTAAAAATGAAATGCTGTTACTATTCAATAACATTTATTAAAAAGAGGAAGTAACTTCTGATGGCTTTTATTCTGTGCTCTCTCTTCTGTCTCCTTCCTCTGCCCTTGATGAAGAAATGATTGCAGGCTCTTATTTAACTCGAGGCCAGATTTTGCTAGTTGCTTCTAAATGCCTTTCCATGACTTCGTCTTTGAACGAGAATAAAACCGTATGGTGTACATGACAAAATTATTTAACAATAATGCCTTTTATTCTTTCCTTTAAGCCTCATGAGAGTTGTAATCAGTTTTATTCAATTATTTCCAAGACAATATGTTAGAAAGCCGCTTCAAAGGGACTAAAATCTTACAAACCATACACTCCAGTGACCTTTGTCGCAGGTCCGTATCAAGGGGCAAGGACAACAGCGACATTCCAAGGCCTCTTCTCACAGTGAGAAGGGACCTGTCCAAGCACTGGTGGTGGCGTGTGAGCATGGGGTACTTAACCAAAGGGGAAGACATAAAGAACCTGCAGTGGAGACCTTGTCTATGCAGCATCTTGGCTGTCGGTTGTAAACATACATCCTGCTCTGCACAGATAAGCAGAGATGAGAAATTAATCAAAGTAAAACGGTTGCTTCATACAGTTACACTGCCTATTTTCTGTGCCTGGAACATTTATTTTCCCCAACTTCCATAAAACAAACTTTTCTTGACTCGGACTTGATTTTTCCCTTACCTTGCCTTTCAAGATATCACATTGAACAATATTTTTAAAACTTATTTTCCATTATTGGAACCTTATTATTTTTAACCCTTCCCCCTAAATGAGTATTATAAAAGCTGTGGGTTTTTGTGGGGGGTGTCTATCTGCTATGTAAAATCCTGAACTGTATTATATAAATGCCCAAATGCATTCCAACACAGTGTTGATGCTAATTTGATTTTGTTGGCATCATTTTTATGATTGTAAAGGCTATGGGCATCATATCATATCAAGGAAGATATGTACTATTTGTTCACAGCAATTTTGTCCCATTGTCTTTCTTTAATTGTCCCTTTTTTCTCTTTGAAGTACAGTGTGCTACAACAACAACAAGGCAGATGACTGCTATCAAACCTGATGCTACTAAAACTCCTTTCAGTATCAGGTCATCTCTGTGAAATGTAGGAGCAGACTTTGGGGAAACAGACAGTGACACCAGGGCTATGTTTGACACAGCTGACTTCAGGGAGTTTTGATCCATTGCTCTCATGGCCACATATACTATGTGGTTTTCTTCCATTTGTCCATCAGGTTTGTGTTCAAGTTCATTGGTGACCATCTTGGGTGAGAATGTAAATATCTCCCTTGTGCCAGCTTGCTGGGGATTTAGTTCTGATGTGTTCACTAAAATGGCATTGTTAAAGTCATCTCGAATACGCTGTAGACTTTTACTCATTCTTATTTCATAGCTTGTAGCTGAAATGGAAAATACAAACGGGAAAGTTTAGTCACTGAGTAAGTGTTTTAGTTTATTGAAAATGAGTAATGAAAATCGCCACAAAAAGTCAAACCATCAAGGAATACCCAACCAGAAAAGCACTGAATACCAAGACACAGAGAGTACAGTTTCATGATAAAATCTGAGTCTGAAGGGCTTGGTACTTTTTTAAAGCAAAATGCAACCTAACCAGGATGCTGTTCTCCCTTACAAGCTATTACATAAGTTTTGGGTTGCTTTATTTTAGCTGTATCTGGGTCTTGCTTTAAGTAGTGAAACTTTTTGTAAAGTTTATATGGAAAACTGCTGTGCAATATTTGATCACCCTATGTCACTTTTTCATTCTGCTTGGTTTAATAAAGAGCTGAATGGCCAATAGCTAGGCAAGAGAGGCTAGGTGGGATTTCTGGGGAGAGAAAGGAACTCAGGAGATGAATCAGGCATGCAGATTTTGCCAGTGAGACACATAGGAATTTGGACATACATTATGGAGAAAAGATAACAGCCACATGACAGACTGTAAACTAATATGAATGGATTAGTTTAAGCTATAAGAATTAGTTGTGAACAAGCCTAAGCTAAGGCAAAGCTTTTGTAATTATTAATAAGTTTCCATGTCATTATTTGGGGGCTGGTGGCCCAAAGACAGTCTGGCCAGAAAGCTTGCTACAGAAAACAATAAAAATGATCACACACACACACAGACCAAAATACTATCTGTGGAAAGGTAGTTATGGCAGTTATGTAACAAAGTCAGCAAACCTCAAACCTACCCTGGCCCTGATCGTAATCTTTTCCAGGTGCTGTCCAAGAAAGGATCACATCCTCTTCGACTTTTACGGCATCCAGGTCAGTAATTTTGCACGGTGGAAACATGTCAGGATGGGGGCCAGCTGGAACTCCCAGCACCGAGAAGGATCCCCCGGAGCTTACTCTACTGAAGCCCCACTGCTCCTTCATGTCTCTTCGGCCTGCTTTTTTTGGAGCATTCATTTGAATATTATCTGAAGCACAAAGAGAAAGCCAAAGAGCAAATTACAAATCCCCTGAACAGACTCGACAGATTGTTGAGACATCCTTAGAACAACTGAGTTTACCAAGTCAATAATGTGTCCATTCATCCATTTATTCCCGCCATTCTTATTCTTTGGGTTGTACTTCTGTGCTGTGAATCAGACTAAACAGTCTCCCTCAGGAGATTTATAGCCATGGCAGTCATATCAGTAAATAGATATTTATAAACTGTGATTAATATGGGATAATAAAAGCGCAGGTGCTCTGCAAGCTCATATCATTTAGGTTGGCATTGAGAAAGTAACATCCAAGTTTCCCAAAGGCTGAGTTGGTCAGGTAAGGAGTGAAGGGAGAAACATCCTGGACAAAGAAAACCGCTTGCATGAAAATCTAGGTTTAGGATACCTGCAGGGTAGGGAGACTAAATTAAAAAAAGAGGGTGGCTGTAGCTATAGCTTATAAATAATGCATGCCTGCATGGTGCCCTGGGATTCAATCTCCAGCACTATAAGCAAACAGAAAACAGAAGAAGATACTGAGATGAGGCAAAAAAGCAGGTAATAACTGACCTCAGGGATCAGTGTAGCAGGCTTAGGCTTTAATCCTAGTGCTGTGGGGAAGCAGGGATGACAGGATTCATAATTTTGCTTTCTAACTGGTCCCTAGAAAATGGATCAAACCTCATTAAGCAAGAGGCCACTTAGAAAAGGCCATTACGTGGCTAAGATAAGAAATACTGAGGACAGCTTATGTTGCAGAGGATGTGGAGTAAGGTGAACACTCCTCCACTACTGGTGGGAGTGCAAACTTATACAGCTACTTTGGAAATCAGTAAGGCAGTTTCCCAGGAAGCTGGGAATCAGTCTACCTCGAGACCCACTGATACCACTCTTGTTTATATACCCAAAGGATGCTCAATCATACCTCAAGGACACCTGTTCAACCATGTTCATAGCAGCATTATTCCTAATAGCCAGAATCTGGAAGCAACCCAGATACCTACCAACTGAAGAATGGATAAATAAAATATGATATATTTATACAATGGAGTATTACTCAGCTGGGGAAAACAATGACATCTTGTAATTTTCAGGCAAATGGATGGAACTAGAAAAAAATCCATCCTGTGTGAGGTAATACAGACTCAGAAAGGCAAACATGGTATGTACTCACCACACATGGATGCTAAATGTGAAGCAAAGGATAACCAGACTACAATCTACAACTCCAGAGAAGTTGGGTAACAAGGAGGACTCTGAGAGGGACACATGGATTGTCCCGGGAAGGGAAGTTACATGAGATCTCCTCAGTAACCGAGGGTGAGGGGATGGTAGAAGGGAAGGTATAGGGGAGGAGAACATGAGGGAATGGGAAGGTCAAGTTGGGTGAGGGATGGAGGGGAAGAATAATAAAAGAGATATCTTGATAGAGGGAGCCATTGTGGGGTTAGGGAGAAACCTTGTGCTAGGAAATTCCCAGGAGTCCACAAGGATGACCCAGCTAAGACTCCTAGCAATAATGGAGGGGGTGCCAGGACTGTTCTTCCCCTGTAATCAGAATGGTGAGTACCCTAACTACCATCATAGAGCCCTCATCTAGTAACTGATGGAACCAGATGCAGAGATCCACAACCAAGAACAGGCTGAGCTCTGGGAACCCAGTTAAAGAGAGGGAGGAGGGAATACATGAGCAAGGGAGGCCAAGATCATGAAGGGAAAATCTACAGACACAGCTGAACCAAACTCATGGGAACTCATGAGCTCTAGACTGACAGCTGTGGAGCCTCCATGGGATCCAACTAGGCCCTTTACATATGGGAGATAGCTGTGTAACTTGCTATAGGGTCCTGGCAGTGGGGCCAGGATCTCTGTCCCTGGTACATGAGCTGGCTTGTTGGAGTCCATTCCCTGCGGTGGGATACCATGCTCAGCCCTAATGTAGGGAGGAGGGGCTTGGTCCTACCTCAACTTAATGTGCCAGGCTTTGTTGATTCCCTATGGGAGGCCTTACCTTCTGGGGGTAGTAAGTTAGGGGAAAGCAAAGGAGGGTGGGAGGAGGGGTGGGAAGGAGAATTGTGGTAGAATGTAAAATGAACAAAAAGAAAAGAAAGACCCATTCAGTAGTTACCATGTGAGAATACAGTGGCAGCCTTCAACGGTGACTTCAGAAGGAGGCAAGAAAGGGCAGTTCAATGCATAATTTGCAGGGAGTTAGCACATATTGATGATAGATTTGAATGTGGAATGGTGAAAGAAAAGTTGATGAGAAGCAGCTCCTAGACCCATGCTGGGGAAAGAACCAGTTTTGACAAGTTGTATTGTGAGCCCCACACACTTGCTTTAGTATGTACACATACAATAATAAAAAAGCAAATATTTAAAAAATAAACCCTAAAATAGTTTCTAATTGGTGTAATTTGATAGGAGAAGATGGCCAAGGAGTCAGAGACAAACATTAAGTTAATGATTCTTCTAAAATAGAACTAGTTTTAATATTTAACAGCATTTAAGCTAGAGCCAATAATTATGAAAATTATGAATTTGGAGGTTATGGACATATAAATGTTATCAAAGCGCATGAATTAACAAAGCTATCTAATGATTTTTAACTATAATGAATGGTATTCACTGCGTGAATATGGCAAAGTATTGTAAGTATCTTGTATCAAACATTTAATTCCCCTAGTAAGGCAATGTAGAAGGTGAAATTATCAATGCATTTATTGATAACACAATGGCAAGACACAGAGCTAAGTAAGTTGCTCCATGTTACACAGCAGTAAATGGGGGAACTGGGCCTTGGGCCCAGGCAGTGCCACCCCAGAAGGTAGAGGGGTAGAAGCTGAGAGGTGGGGGATCACATGCACAGAATGCACAAGCGTTTGGGGGCCATTCCCAGCGCTGCAAAATAAAAACAAAAACAAAGAAAACAAGTCAAAGCCAATGGAGATGGGGAGGGGAGAGTGCGTGTCTCAAATCCTCCATTTTTAGAAATAAAAATTATTAGGAATGGTCCTAGAGATTGTTTTTAGACACAGGACAGCACATCAAATTTCTGTTTTATTTTCACTAATGCTTGTAACAGGAACTAAAATAGTATTTTCCATAAAAAGAATGTATACCTCCTATTTATTTTCCATTAAGATAATATATACCTCCTGTTTATTTTCCATAAAGAGAATATACACCTCCTATTCATTTGGAACTTTGGTTTGAAGAGCAGCAGAACCTCTGCTTAGTTGTCTGTACTGGCCAAGCTCATGTTTATTCAGAGCTCATTTCCTGTCTTGATCTCTGGGGCTGTTTGCACCACGCTCTCAACTTGTTGCTCTTGCCTAAGTCTCTATAAAGGAAATATGGGACCCAATAAATTGTAAGGAATCCCTTTGTCGGTTAGTTACTGAAGCCAAGCAGTCACAAGACAGTTTAGAATAAGTTACTAAAATAATGAGAGGATCAATCCATAGAAAATACCTACTTTTGGTTTTATCTACCACAAATCATTAAGGACTGAAGAAGCAGTCTACGTGTCTACCTCCCTTAGTCCTTCCTCTGCCTCTTTATCTCTCCTCTTCTCTCTCCCTCCTTCTTCCTTTATTGTCTCCCCTCCCATTTCCATCTGCCTATTACACACACACACACATACACACACTAATATTACACACGTTCACAGTGCAGATGGTTCTTACCGTTTGCTATATAACCTGGTACATACATAGCATGGCTTCCTGGAGCAGAGTGGGCTCGGGTACTTCTGCCGGGAGAGTGATGGACATGCACTGTCAAGCTGTATCTCCCACTCACAGCAAAGGAGAAAAAATACCTGGAGTAAATTCCATCATCTTTTACAACATCAGCACCTGTGCATATAGACAAAAACTCAGTGTTAACGTGTCATCAGAGTTGATTGCTGGCATTTAATGAGTTATTAACAATTTATCCCTCTTACTGGAGAGACCGGAGAGGTCTTTGTGCTCACAGATAAGCACCAGGGGAAGCTAGAAAGCACACAGGGTTGTTCCTTCCAGGAAGGGATACAAGATCCGTCTTCCACCCGGGAGGCTGGGAGCAGGTGTGCTTTCTAGCCTGGTAACCTTGGTGCTATCTGTGTGGCCAGACTCTTTCCCAGACTGTTATCATAAGTTTGTTTTTCTTAGTCAGTCTATAGAACCTTTCATGTACCTTATAAAGTGTTTCAATGTAGTCATATCTGATCTTTATTTGGCTTATTTTGTTCCTCAGAGAGATTTATATGTGCTTTGTTTTATACACAGGTTTGAGTTAATTGTCACCAGAAAAGTTTTCATCAGATTGTGTCAGACTATTGAAGTTTGAACTGAGCTGTCTTCTTGTCTCCTGCAGATGGTCTCTCCATAGGCTTGTGAAGGTCTCAGAGACATCTCTCACCACTGCAAAATTATTTCTATCTTGGCATATGTTACGTAGCTACTTTTGATATTATCATGTGGTTTAAAATAAGATGACATCATAATTTCTTCCCGTGATTACTTAATCTCTGAAAAGTTGTTTCTGAAGCTGAACAACCAGTGAACACATTACTCGGCATGTACCCAGGGCCATTACACCTAATTCAGAGGTAACACTTGAAATCATCTTGACAGCTTTCGTTCTAATGATCCAAACTAACAATAGGATATAGTGTACTAAGGTCTATTTTCATGTAAAAAGCTAATAATAATGTCTTCAGAAGCAAAGTCTTCTTACGATCATTTATGGCAACATGACCATATTTATTCACCCCTTTGAAATAAAATCTGTCTCCAAAAGATAAACGCAAATGCACACACATAAATTTTCATGTAGGTTCAAGAGAAGCCTTTGTTTAGGAGCCTTGAATGCTAAACAGCTTTGGTACTTGATAAAACCGCATGCAGCTGACTGATTTCCTCAACAGAGGACACACCGCACTGCCATTTAGAACGGAAAGAGTTCCCGAGCTGCAGGCTTGGTTCCTGCCATTGTGCCTTGCTGTTGGAAACATTCTGAGAGCCCGACCTTCTTGCATTGTGGTTCTCAGGGGGCAGCACAATCCAGAGTCCGGTCCACAGCTCTAGGCAGAAAGGCGAGATCCCAGGCCAGCAGCCTGTAGTCACATCTCCAAGGTCATCTTAGTTCTCACATCACACCTCAGACTCCAAATGTTGACGTTGGGTTATCATTAAAGTGCTCCAAACCCAGCTTCCCCTCGCTGTAGAGACAAGCCCCGCAGCATGAGAAAACTGGGGAGGGGGTGTCTGTTTATATAAAACGAGTGGTAACCATCTTACTCATGAAAAGTTAGAATTTTTTTGTCGATGGCAAGAAAAATAAATGTTGGCATTTAGATGGTCTATTTTGTCGAGAATTTGCAAAGGGTAGCACTGTGGCCACCTCTTCTAATCACAGTCACAGAAGGAAATGAGACAGAGCCGTGTCTAGGACTCAGGGTTTAAGTTATGGATCTGTACCAGGACACCTTGAAGCTGGATGCCTCTGAACGTCGGATCTATATCTATAAAATGGGTCGGTACCCCCTGCCTCTCTCACTGCTCCATGCACTCGTTCCCTCAGTGGAAGCAGAGGACCCTTCCCAACAGGAGGAGGACCAGTCTTTGATCAAGGGTCATGAGTAGCTGGGTTTCCCTTCAGACAAGCTCTCAAGAACCTGATACGATTGACGAGGAAAGCAGCTGGACTGAAGGGATCTCCCAGGGATTATCAACACCTATGGAAACTCGTCGTGGCGCAGCATGATGCTTCGTTACCTGCTCCATTGTCCAAAAGTTGCAGCATAATGGGGTCTCCAGCCTCTGGCTCAACTGTTGCCACCACAGCGGCATTGAGAACGGGATGAAGACCCGTCCTCACACTCGCATAAATGATCACCGGCTGAGGAAAACGGGTGCTGTCTCTCTCCACAAAGGCTTCCACAGAGGCAGGGGAGATGGCCAGGCTGGAGGCACGGGAGGCCACTGTCACTTTCAGGGCTTGAGGAGAATGGTGCGTGTTGTTCAGTGTGTAAGTCCAGCGCCCGTGCTGCAAAACAAGGTGTTGTATTTTGTCAAGCATGAAGACAGTAATCAACACTTTGTTGATGCTGCATTCTTTTCTTTTCACTTCAAGAAAAGTTGTCAGGACAGCTACTGTTGGTTAAGTGATGTCTAGCCAGTCACTGTCACCGTTAGGCAGCTCCAGAGGGCAAATCCATCCTGAATTTATTTGAGTTCACATTTTGCCTCCCAGTTTTATAACATCATGGCAAACATCACAGCATCAAAGGACTTTGAGTTTATTAATATGGACTCCTTTATTCAAAAGAAAGCTAAATCCCTTAATCCATTGCTATATAAGTGAAGTAGACCATGTGGTATCCACCGACACCCTGGGCTAGTATAACCTCACACTTCTTTTGTTCCATGCCTCTCAAGCCCCAGAAATTTGAAAAAACAAAAAGTGCCCACACCACCAAAGCATAACCTACTGTAACAGGTCAGAATCAAACAGTGTGTATGGCCTGGGTGTCCTAAAATTCTGCTACCTGTCATCCTGCCATTTACACAAGCTTCCTGGAAGAAACAATTCAAGTAAATATTTGAGAGAAACGAAAAGTGTAAGAAATGTAGCAGAGCGTTTCTTTTTGACTGAGCAGTACTGTCTCTTTTGTTAGGACTCATCTGCTGCTCCTGTTTAGCCCCTGGCCATGGCAGGAAAGAATCGGCACAAATGCAATGGGGTCAGGGTGAGACCGGGGAGGGGAGTTTGGTTGCCACCCCTCTCTGGCCAGCCTTCCTCCATGGGACTCACGAGCTTTGCCACCTCCCAGGGACACCTGAACCAACCACCAAGGTCACCTCTCTTACTGTCTGCCCTTGAACTGATGGCATCACTAGAAACCGGTGTTTCTAATCCAGATGAAGGGGTCAGGCTAGAGAGCAAGTCAGGGAGGTGGCGGCCCCTCCCTCATGCGAGACAAGCACAACGAATTTGAAGAAAAGTTCAGTGGGAGCAAAGGAGATACTTTGGAGAAGGGGATAAGCTGGGGCAGAAGCCAGACATAAACTGCCCAGCAGCAACCATAGCTGTTGGCATTTCATCTTGAAAGTGCTGCAGAGTTCTGAGCGGGAGGCAGGTCCCAGAAGGGTCAGCTGAACGGTGATTGGAGGTCACCAGCTCAGAATCCGGTAGAGAGGCCACCGCCAATCCGGGCCTGGAGCACCTGTATAGTCTCAGCACTCAGCAATTTGGGAAGCTGAAGAGGGAGGAAGGCTTGAGTCTGAGAGTTTGAGACCGGCCAGGGCAACACGGCAAGACCCTGACTTGAAACAATAAAATGCTGGGAGTAGGCGGTCAGGTCTGAGGGATTCCCATGCCAGCTCCCAGCTCCGGGGCTCCCTCCACCTTCAGGGTCCAGCCGCCTTCTCTCTGTGCTGTCCTGAACAGCCCCTGTTGTTACCCATAACCTCAAGGCTCCCCTCTCCTCTGATCACTTACACTCCCAGCCTACCTGCAGCTCTCAGGTTCATCTGGGTCGAATTACCAACAGCCCTGCTTTGTCTGCCAGCCTTCTTAGGTTCTATTTCCTGTGCCAGAATGCCATACCCACTCCAGGTCTCTTGTATTTCCATGCTGATGCCCTCATTGCTGGGGACCTTCCTTCTTCTATCTCCTTGTGTGTTCTAGTGGTACCCAGTGCTTACTCCTAATCAGGGTGTTTTATTCTAAGTTCAAGACCCAGGACACAGCAGGTACTCAAAAAACTCAGACATTATACATATATTATAAAGTATATGTAGAACTGCTCCCAAACATATAGGAAACTACATTTGTATGGGTATCTCCTATAAAGAAATACACAGGTTTCAAAAGCCTGCCAATGCTATAGAGAAACTGATTTACGTTGCGAATGTTAACACTGTTTTATCTAGTACTTAACACTGCGGACATGCTCTGATTGCTCCGCTTAAATTTTTTACATCCACAAAGGTGTTTTCATAATGTTTCAATGTGTCAGCACATCTCTACACAACACATTTCAGCATGGGACTCACTTGCAAGCTCTGCACTTGCCTGAGCACTGTCAGTTGTGAATAGGCTCCCACACTGACCTTCGCAGTTCCTGCCACCCGAAGGCTAGCTGTCCGGAAGGCCAGATTGGTGACAAAGTCACTAGTGTTGTATTTCCTTCCACTAGGGTCCGATAATACGATCTCAGGGGGACCGCTGGTCTGCCACATGACTAGGAACACGGTGTCGTTGCCCACAGTTCTGTCCACAGTCACAGAGTTCGTCAGTTGGTGCTGGGGTAGCACAGTCTCACACACACTTGCAAGCTGTTGAAGAGAACGCGTGTGAAAGCTTCCAGTGAACACACCCCGTTTCTGTCTTTTATCTTGCTTTCATTAATGAAAAAATGAGTAGGTAAAAGTAAAATACATTTCATGCAGACATGCACTATACATATACAGATCAAAGCAAAATATTGTGTATTATGTAACTAGTTATAAAATACCTTCTTACAGTTAATGTAAGTATACTGAAGTATTAGTTTTGTTTGTGTGTGATAAAGTATCGAGTAGCTCAGGCTAGCCTTCAATTGCTGATTCTTCTGTCTCTAAATACAGGGATTGTAGTCTCATGCCACCATGCCTGGCTGCACTATTTATTTATGTTTGACTGGTTTCTTATGATGCTGAGGATTAAACCCAGAGCCTGGCCTGCTGGGCAGATGTTCTTCCATTGAGCTATACACCCAGCCCTCTCCATTGCACTTCAAAAGTAACTTAGCTCTTCTCGTTTTCTCATGAAAACAAGCACTGGTTTTACATCGCCAGTTATGATAATGAGCTCTTAGGAGATTTGTTTGTTAATGCGTTTAAATGGTTTTAATTTGTATAACTATATCCACATGCTTTTACAAGTTCTAGTAAGAAATTTAAAAAGGAGTTTTAAGAATTACATGGTGGTTGCATTTTTGTTTTGTGAGGAAGATCAATGATATTCTCCTCAGTGGCTCCACTCACATTCTTGTCAGCCAGTATGAAGTTCTCGCCAGCATGTCACCTGTCAGCTTTTTTGACATCAGCCACTATTCCTAGAACAAGGAGATGTCTCAAGGTGACATCTTTATTTTTCTGATGATTAGTTGTTTTAAACATCTTTTCATATGCCTACTGGCTATTTGTACAACTCTTTTTTTAAAAACGTCTGCTTGATCTGTTGTCTATTTGTATGTTTCCTTTTTCAAATTGTCTACTGGGATCTATTGCCCAATTCTTTTTGTTGTTGTTGTTGTTGTTATTTTGTTTCTCTGTTTTCCTTTTTTTTGAGACAGGGACTCATTATGTAGTCCTGGCTGTCCCGGAACTTGCTCTGTAGACCAGGTTAGCCTTGAACTCACAGAGATTCTCCTCCCTCTGCCTCTGGAGTTCTGGGATTAAAGGAGAGCAACGCCACATTCAGCTTTGGGGTATTTTCGCTTTCTGCTTTCTCATCTATGTTGGATATTGTCCAATCGTCAGAAGTACAATTTTCAAATGCTGCCTCCTTCCATGGTCTCTGTCCACATTGGGCTGATTGTTTCCTTTGCTAAGCATCTTTTTAGTTTGATGTGATCCCCACTAGTTGATTTTAGCCTTTTTTTCCCATGCTTTGAGGATCTTATCCCCTGCCCTCATCTCCCTCCCCCAAAACCCTTGTTCATCCTAAAGTGCCAAACTATTTCCACTGTTATCTTCTATGTCAGGTTTACAGGAAGAATTTTATCTCTGTTCAATTGGATTTTTAAATTGGTGAGTGATAGAGGTCTATTTTCATTCTTCTGCCTGGAAACATCCAATCATTTTAGCAACATTTACTGAAAAGTTTGTTCTTTCTTCGCTGCGTATTTTTCAACCCTTTTTGTCAAATTTCAATTGGCTAGCTGAGCACAGTCGTACATGCTTCTAATGCCAACATTTGGGAGGCTCAAGCAGGGAGATTACTGAGAGTTTAAGGCCAGCCTGGGATAGTGGCATAGCTTAAAGAATAGTTTTGCTATTAAGGAGACTCTTGGTGGGCAGATTTTTCTTTAGTACTCTATTTCACCAGATCTATAGAGATTCTGCCCAAATGACTACTGTCTGCTAAACTGGGAAACCTTGTGTGATATTTGTTACTTTATCTTTGACCTTTGAACACTTGATTGCAATGTCTCTTGGGGCATTTATTTGGCTTCTAGTGATAGGACCATTACTATCTTTACTGTGCATATATAAGCTGCATGTTAGTTATTCCCTGACAATAATTCACTGAGTTCATTGTTTACATCAAGCATATCTTGGCAGGTTTACTCACCATCTGTGAGGAAATTGCAGGTGAAATTCTGTTTGGAACATTATTCATTCATATCTGAGCTCTTTAAAGTATTTATACAGAAAAAATTAATGGTAGCTTGATTAGAGGAAGATTTTGTACCCCCAAATCAAGTAAGTTGTGCTAGTTAAAGAGGCAATATAAAACTGAGGCTGGTGGCTATATCTGTGATTCCTATAGTTTGAAGGTAGAACCAGGCAGACTAGGAGTTCAAGACCAGCCTGGGCTGCATACAGTCTAAGCCATGTGAATCCTGTCTTAAAACAAAGCAAAACAAAACACACACACACACACACACACACACACACACACACATGCACGCACGCACGCATGCACGCATGCACGGCAGATCTAGAAATTTCTAGAACTTCATGAAATAATTAATATTACTCATAAAAATCCGAAGCTGTAAATATGTTGAAGCAGCAAGACTGAAACAGTGTGGTTTAGGAGAAATTAATGGAACTGAAAAAATTAAAATATAGCTCCTTATTTTTGTTTTGGACCTTGTCTCACCCTACCATACCCACCCTACCTTACCCTATCCACCCTACTCTACCCTACCCACCCTACCCCACATCTAGCTGCATTTTCAGTCATAATGAAGTCCTTTCATGGACCTTCAAACCTGAAACGGTCGTTACAAAAAGTAACTTCTGAAAATGAGACACACAGACATTCTCTGGAACACCAAGACACTCACCAGAATCTTCTTCACACACAGAGTTACATATTTAAAGAGTAATGTGGATGGTGGATGGTGCAGTCCATTTGGTCCACCTCCACCTCCACATACAAGACTGAGGTTCTGACCTGTAAGCTCTGCTGGAAAATGTCTCCTGTTCCAGAAGAGATTCTACTGAAAGCTTCAGTCATTTTGTCACAATTAGAGTTATCTGGAATGAAGAACTTTAAACCTCCTGAAACACAAGAGATATTAAGATAGATAGATAGATGAGAGAGAGAGAGAAATAAAGATTAAATCCTCTCTGACATACTGTGTCTACATCAGTGTGTTAGTCTAGACTTAGTAGGAGGAGTTGACTCATCATGAAGGATATCTGATGTAACTTTGAGGCAAGTGGCCTTAAGAAGGTGATTTCACTAAATAATTTAGATTAATTTCTGGTAATTGCATTGCTGCGCATTTGCATTTACATTCTGAGACACCATTTAAAAATCCAATGAATCTTAATTTTCAATGTTCAATTTGTTGAATTATTTTTATGGAATGTAAGATGAACTTATTATTTGCCTTGTCTAGAAAAAAGCAGACATGTATCTTATAATGCTGCCTGTGTATCTACTTTAGAAGTCATGGCAATTAGTCAATGTGATTTTAGCTTCATAAATATGCATTCTCAGATTGGTTTAACAAATCATAAAAACAGTATTTTAAATGGATGTACAAAACTTCAATTCTAGAGAAAACATTTAAAATTTGAACAATTTTTAGCTGCTTTTAGCAATGATTTGTGTGTTTTAAAAGAAATCTTTCCAATTCCTTCTCCCCAATGAAGAGAGGTAACCTGGTTTTCATAGCTGGGCTTTGAATGCTCAGTTTGAAAGGCATGCTCTAAAAGACGCCCCCTCGGGATGATTTACCTGTAAGATGTGACAATTCCTCCAGTTTTCTGGCCGCAGAGGAACCCAGGGCAATGGAGTGGATGGTGGATCCGCTACTCGTCACGGTGGGCAGGCAGTCGTCTATGTGCTCGTCTGTTCCGCAGCTCACCAGCACCACGACAGAGCCATCGGCCCTTCCGTTCCTCTTCTCAACCACCTGAACACAGAGAACCATCCATCGCGTGGTCTGTGTGCCTGAGATGGAGCCTAAAGTCTCATGCGCACTAAGCAGGCGTTCTACCTCTGAGCCCCATTACCATCTCCTAGTTCAATCAGGCAGTGTCCGTGGGCAGCTTAGGCTGAACAACTGTTGGCTGGGGTGGCGGCAGTCCTAGCTGATGTCTGGTTTTCTGCCAAATGTAGACATGATGATTTAGACCTATTCAGTCTGTCCTGTTCTGAAACATATATCTAGTCTTGTGTGTGTGTTTGTGTGTGTGTGTGATTCTTATCTTTGAAATCTAGGATGTCTATAGCTGGAAACCAAAAAATGCTGATTTTTGCATTGAAACATACAAGGATAACAATAGCCGTAGCTGGGGCCACTTCAGAATGACTAGGGACAGTCTGGAAAGGCTCTAGATGATACTCAGTCCCTTAGCCATGGCCACTGTACTCATTTATCTCCTCATCCTTTCAACAAGCAGTTCTTCATCAATTGTTACATTGGTTACTGTGTTGAGCCTATTGAAGCAGCGGGAGTAAGAAATGGGTCCTGACTTTGGGAATGATTCCTCATTAGTCTCTAACAGGTGAGGCTGCTGCGACCATACTATAAGGGAACACTCCTTCTCAATAAACAAAAGCAAAACAAGCAAAATGCAAACAAAAACAAGAAAACCTCAAAACCTGAGATTCAAAATGGCAATGGAGATAGGGATGGCAACTGAGCCTCAGGGAACTCTACCTCGAAGCCTCTTTTAACCCCTGCACAGGCGTTCATTTCCTCCTCGGGGGACACAGTGGTCGGCAGATAGGAAACCAGCAGCCTCCGGTCACTGTCACTGCTAATTTGTCGCAGCTGGGTTCTGATTGCCCCTTTGCTGTCAAAAGTGACGATGCCCACAAAAGTGTGAATTTCAACAACCTGCATTAGGTACAGTTCAGCCGCTTGTTGCAGTCGAAGGAGTCTGTCTGCCTAGGTCGCCAAAAGAAAAGGAAAGAAGAGGAGGAAGTGACATTGGTGGGTAGACCGATGATGACGAAATGATTCAATTAGCGGAGCGTCTGTTAATTCTTTACAGACACTGTACAGCTGCAAAGAGTGGCATAGTGCTAGAACATATTTTTTCAGGTAATTACATAATCAACACACAAGTCATCTAATGGTGTGTCGGGTGTAGAGAAGAAAGAATGCTGAGGAATTATTTACAATCACCCTCACCATTTCACTCCAACTCAAACTTTAACAGCCTATGATGTCATTTGAGAATAGGTTTATAATTGACTTGTTTTAAATTCAGTCCAGTTGAGACGAAACGTTACAAAGAGATCTGGTAATAGAGAGGTGTGGTAGTCTGCAACACCATTGTCCGTCCCTCTGCTATGGTGGCCATTTGTGGCTGGACACTGTCTATAGCGTGAGCATAACCAACACTATGCGTATTGGTTATTATAGTTGCTATAAGGATTACTTTTAATATGTATACAAAAGGCACTAATCAAGTACAGAGATAATGCTACCAACTAAGTCACTGGGGTTACTTTTTTGATGTCTCTGAAGGGAGAGAAAGAGGCAGTCTGCTGATTCTCAATGACCAGCTGCTTGTATATGGCTGTGACCTCTGTCTGTTGATATCTCCCTGTTATCCAGACTTTTCTCTCATGCTTTTCAGGACCCATCACCAATTTAATGTCTCGTAGAGACTTCAAACTAGACAACATTTTAATTTATTGTCCCCTTTCCAAATATTACTTTTCCAAGACAGGAAGATGGTTAGTAGGGCAGATGAGACATGGCCCTTGAATTCTGCCTCAGCGTTTCATAATTATTTGGGCATAGGAAAGGTTCCTTCTGTGCAGCTTTGATTCCTCTGTCACGGATCATGGGAACTGAGTAGGAACGTGGTAACTTTGGTTTCATCATGGAAGTTATACCATTGTTGTCAATCACAACCTCTAAAAGTGACTAGAGTGTGGCCAGGCAACAGCTTTAAATTGTGTGTAGATTTCAGAAATGGGTCTTGGGGGAGAGAAACTACAATTAGCAGCAACATGGGGTGATGGGGGAAGTCCTGTACATTTGTTAATAAAGCACTGTTGGCCAATAGGAATCTAGATAGGTGGGACTAGGAGTCCAGGAGGATTCTGGGAAGGAGAACCACAAGAGAGCCCGGAACTATTCTCCGGTAAGAGACATACTTAGATTAACAATTATGGGGTAGTTACTTAAGTCAGAGCTAGCCAGTAAGAAACAAGCAAAGGCCAACAGCTTCATAATTAATACAGCGTCTTGGGTGTTATTTGGGGACTACAACGCGGCTGAGCCCAGGCAGCTGGCGGGTGATAAACCAAAGCGGCTAACAAAGAAAAAGCTTCTCCTAACATAATGGTTGTCAGGAGTGGGATTGAACTTCCACACAAAACAACAAAAGCTTTCAAGGAATTTTAGAAACAGAAGAACAGAGAGAAGCACAGATTTTGGTAGCAGCATTTTTCTCAGGTGTGCTCTGTTTTGCTAGCAACAAGCCGAGATTCACGTGGCTCGCTTACCGGAGTCTTCCTGACTGGGCATAAAAAGAAAAAAAAAATCAGCCAGCAAGGTTGTTTTAAGAGACTCTGCTAACGATTAAAAGGTGTGTACATACAGATGGAAGTGGCAGCTTTTGCTGGATGTCAGCATGGACTGAGGCAGTAAGTTGCAATCACGCTTACGCCCGCCATCTTAGAAAATACAGCAGTTTAAAACAGCCGTGGTTTTACAGATAAGACACGTGGCCAGAAAAACATTAAGATTTACAGTAAAGTCAGATTTAAATGAAGAAAAACCTCTAAAGGTTTACAGTGTGTTTAAAAATATACGTGAGGTTGAGAGAGAAAATGAAACGACAAAGTGGTAAATAGAAAAGCCGGCGTTGTGGTGGCACACGCCGGTAAGAATTGCTCCAGAGGCAGAGGCAGGTGGATTTCCAAAGAGAAACCCTGTCTCAGAGAAAAATAAATAAAAGAAATAAAGTAATAATAGATAAATAAATAAGCCACGTAAAGATGGAAAATACACAGAGAGTCTGGATACTGTACGCTATTATGTTTTTCAGTTTTTTGATTGCTCAGGAAGGGACAACTGCTAAAGTACACTTGATTATAAATGCTGCTGAATTAATCCACCTTCTATCTTTTAAAAATGCCTTGACTTCAAAATTTAAGTATAAGGATGTGTTACTTGGAAAAGGAGATTTTGCTTATGTTTCTACAGAAAATGAAAAGCTGAGGATTCCTTCCAGGCTTCTGTGGTTTGATGAACCAAGACCCCCGGAAGCAGTGGGCCAGATGTTCCAACAATTGAGACAGCTAAGATGATGGAGCTTTACAGACCACGAAAATAAGGACTTATACAGGTTTCTGAGTTTTGTCATGATCCCCATGGTATGAACAGCGCCCCCTTCCAGCATGAAGCAGTTTGGAATGAGCGACGTCCTAATTCCCATCTTGTTTATAAATCTTTGTTTTCATTTAAATGGGGTTGTTTATAATTGGCTAATGATCACAGCCAATATTTTTTTTAATGTTAAAAAAGGGAATTATGGTATGGGTATTGTTTTTCATTTTATTGATACAAATTCAAGGTCAATTTTGTGATGTGTATATTTCTCCTCTTAAGTATTGTGCTTATACTGATCTTTTAAAATGTAATGCATAATTGAATACAGACTATAGTTAGTTACTTATAATAGAATTTATAGTTAGGTAAGTTAGGTTTCTAGATATACAGAAATATATTTGACATAAACAGTCTTCAAACCTTTCAAAGACCTTCAGAAAATGGCATTTAAAATGGTTTAGGGTTTTTCTTGACAATGAGAAATGTCTGCTCCTGGCAGCACCAATTACGTCTGAGAGGAAGATGGGCATCGAAGAAACTTGTTATGGAGTTTGCTTTCAACATGGCAAGATTATCCATTTGGGCAAGAAACTTCTCTTGCCTAGACTGTTTGACTATTGCTGTATAAACTGGACATGCAGGACCCACAGGAAAGTTACTGCTGAACTCAGTCTTACAGGGTTCCTGCTTCATGGAAGAGTCTACGAGACTTTCTGCAGGACACAGAGAAATGACTGACAGACTGCTGATACAGATGGACAGTTTTGAAATTTCCTGCTTTGCTGAGAAGTGTTCCAGACACATTGTGGCCTATGGGCTGAAGATGGATGCCCAGAGGAACTTCGGGTGACTGTCCAGGTAGCAAGATGTCTCTGTCAATCCTAGTGTTTATATATTATCCTTCTGTGGTCTTTGATGGAGTTGAAGACAGATAGTTATAATTATAGTTTTCCTTAGTTATGATAAAAGATAAGCTACATATAGAACTTTGGATTCACAAGGATGGGATGGATGATATTTTCTTTAAATCTTGCTAAAATATTGTAACTATGTTCTTATTTGATATCTGTTCTGTTATATACAATTTGACTATGTTAAAGTTAAGACCTTTCTTTTTGTTTAAACAGAAAAGAGGAGATGATGGGGGAAGTCCTGTACATTTGTTAATAAAGCACTGTTGGCCAATAGGAATCTAGATAGGTGGGACTAGGAGTCCAGGAGGATTCTGGGAAGGAGAACCACAAGAGAGTCAACATGTAACGCCATGGGGTAGGAGCCCGGAACTATTCTCCGGTAAGAGACATACTTAGATTAACAATTATGGGGTAATTACTTAAGTCAGAGCTAGCCAGTAAGAAACAAGCAAAGGCCAACAGCTTCATAATTAATACAGCGTCTTGGGTGTTATTTGGGGACTACAACGCGGCTGAGCCCAGGCAGCTGGCAGGTGATAAACCAAAGTGGCTAGCAAAGAAAAAGCTTCTCCTAACAATGGGGTAGTCAGTGGGGTTAGGGATCCCATGTGGCTTTCATTTATCTCACTAACTCAATCTCTGGCCCTCCTTCTGGGTTTGCCCTACCCATGCCCCAAAAAACAAGGTCATCTTGGGGAAAGCCTCTTGTGCCCTACCCATCATACTTTGAACAAATAGAGCTGGAAACCTGGTGGAGGGAAGCAGTGTATTACCTCTGCCATCTTCCTGGACACATCTATCACTAAGCAGATGACTTTGTCCCCAGCTTGTAGGAGGGAGAACGTGGGAGGAGGCGGCAGCTCAACCCCGTGGATGGGGAGGCTGTGACTGATGTCAGAGGAGTCTGCAATGACGTCCCAGGTGCTTCTGAGGCTGCACATTCGGTTCTGCAGGTTTGGGGCCTCATGGTTGTGGGTACTCACGTTACAGAATTCAACCACCTGGAAAAGAACAAAGTTCCCTTTCCAGACCAGAGACACTTCTCATTCTCCATAGGCCACAGGTAAAAAGGACGGCAGAGCTGAAAGCAAGGTCATGTCTTCTTTTTTTCAAAAGCAACAGTAAGCTTGCAAATAACTCTTAACACCTTTTGCTTGAAATAGTAGCACCCTGTGGTCACAGAAGCAATCTCTCGTAGAAGTTTGTTTGCACTGAGAAAACAGAGCAGACTGTGTATATATACCTTAGTCTTAAGCAGAACAACCACCGCTCCTCCCTTGCATGATACTGTGTTAAAGAAACACCTTAAGAGATGTTATCCTAGCCAGCCCATTCTTTGGAATCCCATTATGTGACACTGCATCTTTTCTACGGGTCAGTAAACATATATTGATCTAGTTCAAATATTGGTCTTTGTGAGGCTAAGATGAGGGCAAAACAACTTAAATCAACTTCCTGAAACCCTTTTCCCATTAGGAAATCTAGATGTAGTCTATTTAATGATAATCAACCTATGCCAGCATCCCTTTTTAAAGTTACAGTTTATGCAATACAAGGGAATGCCTGTCTATTCCCAGTAGCTCTGGTCGTACAGAGAACAGACACTCCTGAGAATAGTGTCACAGGAGCTAAAAGTATGAAAGAAATGTCTAGATTCCTGGCCCCAGCTCTGATTCCATAGAGGATGAAGCTTAGCTGGCTAACACCTGCTTAGTTTTTCAGTGCAGGGGGGCAGGGGCACACCTGTGCTTCTCTGTTTAGTGCTTTTTATCCTACATTTCATGATTGTAGCAAGGTGATTTTTAAGTTTTTGTGACTGGAATGTTTAAGGGTTTTTTTTTCAAGAGGCTACAAAGATTTTATGTAGTCACAAATAACATGGATCAAATATCTAAAACTGGGTTCAGGCCAGATATGAAAGTTATAAATTAAAAACAGAATGGATAAAGGCAAGAAACATAAACAATCATGTTCACATTATAAAGGATTGCTACCATTGACTAAAACCAGGCTGAAGAAACAAGGTAGCAAAGTGAAGGAAGGAAGGAAAGAAAGATGGGAGGGGAGGAGGGAGAGAGGGAAGGAGGGAGGGAGGGAGGGAGAGAGGGAGGAGGGAGAGAAGGAGGAGGGAGAGAGGGAGGAGGGAGAAAGGGAGGAGGGAGAGAGGGGAAGGAGGGACCAGGGAGGGAAGGAGGGAGGGGGAAGGAGGGAGAGAGGGAGGAGGGAGAGAGGGAAGGAGGGAGAGAGGGAAGGAGGGAGGGAGGGAGGGAGAGAGGGGGAAGGAGGGAGAGAGGGAGGAGGGAGAGAGGGGAAGAAGGGACCAGGGAGGGAAGGAGGGAGAGAGGGAGGAGGGTGGGAGAGGGAGGAGGGAGAGAGGGAAGGAGGGAGGAAGGGAAGGAGGGAGAGAGGGAGGAGGGTGGGAGAGGAAGGAGGGAGAGTGGGAAGGAGGGAGGAAGGGAAGGAGGGAGAGAGGGAGGAGGGAGAGAGGGGAAGGAGGGACCAGGGAGGGAAGGAGGGAGGGAAGGGGAAGGAGCATGGCTAGAGGGAGGTCGTTCCGATGCAAGCAGGATTGGTGAGTCACGGAACAGGGCGAACACTCCAGAAAGGCATGTGCCCACCACACTAGCAGCCCAGCAGAGAGAGGATCTACAGATAATGACTTCCAGGTCTTTAGAAGTGCAATAGACAAATGAAGCCACACAGGCTGGTCCCATTAGACCTGTCAACTAGCCAAGTCCCTCCCTTCTGACTCCTCTTTCTCCTAGTGTAAGGTTCTGGAGATAACATCCTTCTTAAAGATCGGCTTTAAAATGGAGTTACACATTCATCTTTTGTGAGTTAATATGAAATGGTAGTTGACAAGTCTTAGGTGCATAGCTGAGGGTCAATTCACTTCTCTGGGCTAGCTTGGCTGTCTTTTGAAGTGCTAGATTTTTTTTTCAAAACAAAGGAAAGAGATCCTCAAGTGAGAGGAATACAGTTATTTGTTCCATCATTCCTGCAAACCTCATACTCCTCCTCTGAAATGACACAAGAAAGGAATGTCACCACATGGGCAGCTCACTTTGTGGTATCAAAAGTCCTCTTGTGGAACACTTCCTGGAAAGTGGATGTTTGCTTTTAAAAACAATCTGTATTAGTTATCATTTGGGAGAGACAGATTTTATTTTTGTTTTTAATATGTAGGATAAAGACTAAATTAACTGTAGACTCCCAGACTCTAGTTTAATGACTCCTAATTGTCCTAAGTTTACATACGTGAAGCATATCCGTGTGTCTTAGAAAGATGTGGTTTCCTATAGGAGCCTGTCATTCCAAGGACATACTTACAGAAGATAAACTTTGCATGAACATTATTGATCCAGTTGCATTCTGGGTGCTGTTGTAGATGAAAGTGCATCCCTCTCTGAAAAGTTTGCTAATGATACAGTCTTTGTGGGGACAAAGGCCCTTCTCACACACAAACACTCCAGTGATGTCAGACGAACACCTAAGAAATGGAACGAGAAGCTAGGAATTACATACTTTTTAGAAATATGTATTTTTTCTGGATTATCTTTTCTAATAGTTTCTTATAGACACGTATACACTTTTAAAAAATGTTCTCCTAGGGAAGTTTATTAACTTAGAAATACAGTCTCTCCAATTTACTTTAAAGCCTTGAATTGGACGAGGGAGTTTGGTATTGCCAAAACTTTGGCAAACCCGAGTGAGACAAAGAGAGTTAACTTGTAAGAGAGAACTTTGGAAATAGCCCATCTTCATTAAAATATTCAGCACACTGCTATGTGAGTGAGACTCGGTTTCTGCTTACAAGTGGTACTGATCATGTATGTCTACTAGCGGAGGATGCTCTCTAACCCAGAATTCTTGGAAGACTTTTTAGATATATGGACTTCCATGCTTAGATACAGAATAGCATGCATATGATGCTATGAGCAGCAGTGAAACTGACAACTACAAAAGGTTGCTATTAATCTCTGTGTCCAACAAGAGGGGTCTGATTGAATAAGTTATGGCATAACCACACAAGGCAACACTATGCAATTATTTTTAAAAGGGTGAGGAGAATATATACTCCATTTATTTGAATTTTCTTGATGAGGCAAAATAAATAAGAAATGAATCAATATTGCTACGCAAAGGTGATAAGAGGAAGCAGAAAGAAGACAGTGGTAAGAATGTAACTTATAGTTTACAGGGGAAGCTGGATGAGGACTGTGTCAGTAAGATGGTGAAGAGCACAGCTTGTTCATATTTGGATCACATAAACATTTGCCCATTTTAAACTTCAATAAAAATTAAGAATAAAAACAGAAGAATTTATTCCTTGCTAATATTTACTTTACACTAATTTATTTGTATTTCTTATTTTTTTCTGTCACATAATAACCAGGTCAAGACAAAGATGCCTACACTTTCTTATTTATCATTATGTTTTCCCCTTTTGAGAACAAGGTCTCACTAAATAGCCCTGGCTGACCTGGAATTCACAGTGTGGAGCAGGCTGACCTTGAATTTGCAGCATACCCTGTCTCTCTAGTGCTGAGATGATAACAGCTTGTGTCAATGTGTCCGGCCACTTACTGTAACAAAAAAAAATTCTAAAACCCTTCTAGTTTTTGAAATATTCAGTATACTCAATCAGTAGTGAACTTTAAACATGAGAGAAAGCACTGACCTTGTGACTTGAATTTCGTTTTGGCCATTTATGTAGAATGGCTTGTCATAGTTATATTCGTCAAACACACCCCAGCGGAGATGGGCCCATTCATGGACGAACACCCTGCCTGCGGAAGAGAGAGTTGTGGCTTTTTGAGTGCCTAAAATCTCAGCAATGGGCTTTTCTAATCGACATAGTGACTACAGTCGCGTTCCATACAGTTGAAGTCAGTGTTTTTGGTCACTTTCCTCACACTTCCTTTCCTACCTCATCCTCTACCACCGCAGAAAGGCAGCACGGAAATGTTTGTTTGCATGACCGTGAGGCATCGTGCACCGTGGGAAGCAGCAAGGGGTCCCCACGTTCTCCTACTCGCTGATGCTCTTCTTGCGTGCAGCCCGGCAGGTTCGGGACTTAGCGGGAAGGCGGACATCACTGCAGTTAAATAACTTTTCCAAGTTTAGTCTGTGCCTAAGCACGCTTGCTCTCCTGTGGGCCATCCCCCCCATCTGTGCCAGTGACTGAAAAGGAGAAGACCGGGAAGAAGGAAGGATCCGGAAAGATACAGCATCCCCACGCCGGCCTGAAGCTCCTTCCTCTTTTACCCTCCTAACCCTGTCCTCGGGAATTCTCACTGTTAACATCACATCCCACATCTGTCACAGGTTTATCTTGTCCTCTCCTGTCTTAGATGTCCTTCCAAGTCCAGTTGAGTAGTCAATTGTTCTCCGTGGAAGCTTTTCAGTCAACGCCCTTCCCAAACCAAAGCACACGTTCCTTTTTTTTTCCGAATTAGTTCAGGTTCTGTAACCCAGAGACTGCCTGACTGGCTGGGGCACATTGTGCAATGTTTACATCTTGGGAGGAGACAGCCACAGCTGAGAGTAATAAGGGAAAGTGTGTGTCAACTCATGAATCTAGAGACACTGATGAAGTCATGCGCAGGGCCAGACAACCTCAACCTCATGGTTAGTTACCAGATAGGGGCAAAATCCAATTTTTAAGACTTTTATAAAATATCCTGTGGATATTGCTTTACCTCCTGCTTGCTAAGCAGGAATAACAAATCTTCTTAGTTCTAAATTTCATAAGAAAATAAAGATCTTTGAAAGGCCCTGTTTAAAATTCAACCAAAAATAAAATTGCAGACTGGAGTAAGCACTGGGTTCGCTGACCTGTTCTCTCTAGTGTCTCCCTCAGACCTCACACACGGCCCACCAGTCTGCAGGCTGGCGACTGTCAGCTTTTTCCTAAATGCGGGACGCCAGTATCTGACCACAGCCAGGCATCTTAGGGCAGTGCATTGCTCCTCACCACGGTCTTGCTCAGCCCAGCCCCACGACTTCCCTTTCCACTCCCCAGCTGTTTCCCAATACCTTCCTTGTGCTTAATGTCATCTGCCCACGCCCCTTGACTTGTATTTTGCAGCCAGCCATCCAGAACTCCTCAGCACTTACGGCCACTCGGATTTCATAAGAAAATATTTGAAATGAAATTGACAGAGCATCTGAGCATGGGAAATTCTTGTTGCTTGTATTCTGGGCTCTGGTCCTTTCCACCTTGCTGCTTCAACTCCAGCCTGCTGAGCACACCCCTGTAGTACCATGTATCCTTCCGCGTGAGCACACCCTGTAGTATCCCATGATCCTTCCACGTGAGCACACCCTGTAGCACCCCATGTATCCTTCCTCGTGAGCACACCTTGTAGCACCCCATGTATCCTTCCGCATGAGCACACCCTGTAGTACCCCATGTATCCTTCTACCTGAGCACACTTGTAGCACCCCATGTATCCTTCCGCATCCAGCTTCTCCTTCACTGATTCTAGTCAGCCCAGATGTGTACACAGACAGACCCATCTTCTGAAAATGATGTGGTGCTGTTGCTCCTGTACACATGCCCCCGAGGTGGGGACTTCATGATGTAGACATTCTGCAATGCTCCCATTTTGGTTTTGGGGTGCAGGTTAGCATTTCCCTTTTTGCCCAACCTCTGCCCCGTCAGTGGGTCTCATGCTTCCCTCAAAAGCCTTGGGTTCCTCTGCAACCTCAGCATTTTTCACGTGCTTCCTGCTCCTCTCTCTTCTTTCCCCTAATCAAAACGTTGCTAAGCTCTCCTTTGTGAGACTTGTTCTGACAACCCTTGGCTTAGTTGTCTTCTCTGAATTCCCAGAGTTCTGCTCTGTACCTAACCCGGTTCTTGGTCCCCCGGGCTCATTCTGTCACTCTCCTTCCATGTGTGCTTGGCCCGCCTCCCCCTCAAACGGGAAGACACTGATAGCTGAGGGTTTTATGAGGTCACTTCTGTGCCAAACACAAAATACTGGATTGTCGAGGAGCTGCGTTTTAATGATTGGCACTTACCTCTCGAGCCATATCCTGCTGCTAGCTCATCATTTAGTAGGAAGTTAGGGGTGAAATGGATGTATTTCCCCTCTTCTCCACACCCTCTGTGTTGTAGTGTATAAGGATCGTCCCCATGTTCTCCACTCTGCTCAGTCACTATGACATTTGCCTAAATTAAAACAAATACATTTCAAGTAAAGGTAAGCTATAATTTTGCTGCATGTGATTATACACAATTTCAAGACAGATTAAAGGCAAAAGGAATGCCTTGAAATTAGAGTTCAGATGTTCTGATAGCTATATACTAGCTAAATTCTTCGGCACGTTCAGAAAGATCCCCTTTGAAAGGTTAGCTAGATTCCATGGAACTTCTCACCCTCTTTATTACCGCCCCGTTCTCCAGAACAAAATATTCTCAGACATCAGCACTGTAAAATTACGATGTTATGGCACTGTAAAAGCCATATAATCAAGAACATTTGATGGTATTTACACATCATCCAGGACTTCATAGGAAAGAGTTACAGCTCTTTTCAGTCAGCTCTCCATGGTTATTCTATCAGTGTGGGCGGCCGGACAGTGTGTAGGCGGCCTCTTCCGTACCGAACACAAAATATCGTAGCCCCATCTTTCATTTCCATAGCCAGCTAGATCAGTGTCATCCACAGGATGTTTGCTTTACTGACATCATGCTTGTGTCCAAGACGTTTGATCATATTACATGTGCTGTACTTACACCTCTCACAGGATAAGGGTACCACCATTGACTTCTCAGTTGGACTGAAGGGCAAGTTCATTAATGAAATCTTTGCAGATACTGCGCAGATTATGAAGTTAAATAGATATTCAAACTGTGGGTCAGTAATTACTATTTGCGTGGCACGAAGTCCTTACCTTAGATATTAATTTTTGATAATAACAACTAACCTGAGGCTGCATAGACTTAAGGGGACCTCAATAAACACTAGATTTCCCCCAATTAGTTTCAGTTCCCACTTATCTTCGTGCCGAGTACTGCCAAATGCTTCTATCTGATGTGAAATCAAGAGCTCTTGTAAGCCTCTCAACATCTTCATGCTTTGGCCTGCAATCTACATTGCTAGGCCATTCAATTTCTGAGAGAATCTTCAAGGGAGAGCTAAGAATCCAAACAATCTGAGGAAATTTAAGCCAAGTGACACAGATTTTTTTAAAAGGACACGTTTTTCCATGCCCAGCTATCCCGGTGGCAGTATAGCTACAGACACCAAGCCCACACCATTGCTGAACTAAAGCTCCAAGTTCTTCTCCATGCTCTGCTACGAACTCTGCTCATAGTAATTTTCAAAGTGCTTTAGCATTTGTTTTGATGGGTGCATACCCGTGAATATTTACATGTCATCTGCAGTTTATTAGTGTTCTTCATGGTTAAGTTCTTCTGTGGTTAGAAAAGAAAATGGAGCCGCCTGCCCCTTTGAATCAGCATGCTGACCTTAGTTAAAATGCAGAACATACTCATTTACACCACTGTTCCATTTTACATGCATGGATGGCTCTCGTCCTGGACTTGGCTGTTCCTGACACAATGACAAGAGAAGATCACCAGAATCGGATTGTGCTGGTCCCTGCTCCCCCTCAGCAGGATAAATCCGACTAAAAACTGAGCCAGGACCTTGTACATTCCAGGGTAGAGATGTCCTGAGAAGCAGACTCAGCAATGGCACATGATTTAGTTTTTGACTGAGTAATTTACACTCATTATGTTTCCAGTTTTCTTTCTTGTAATTGTCTATAAAGATCTATGGGGCAAAGTCCACATACTTTCTCAGAAATACTCTTTGCGGTAGCATAGCTCTGTCCCAGTAACAATGACAAAGTATATTTTGAAAGTTTTCAGCCTCAAGTTGAATTAGGCTCTTTTAAGAGACTCCCAAATCCTTACCTTTTCATAGGCTTCTTGTTTTACTTTGCTGTAATTACGAGCTGTCCAAGTGGTGGGTATTAAAATCTGAATATTTCTGAAAAACACTCTTCTCTTGGTGGCATTGAACAGGTAAAAGGAAGCTTCAGTTATCATCTCCTATAACCAAGCAGAAGGGACACTGCCTCGTGTAAATCCTTGTTTCTCTGGGGACACTTACACAACAGGGGAAAACGGGTAAGCAGATTTTGAATGAATCTCTGAAGGTTTCTTTTTGAAAAGACGGTGAATGGCTACTTGGAAGAGACTGTTCGCACACTGATTATGTGTCGGGGCTTGCACTCATGATTCCCCCAAGTTTCTGAAAGGGTTTTAAGCTTTTACTAGATACATCTTTATGTCACACCTATGGGCATGTTCAGGCCTGCCCCTTTGGAAGATATTATTTTCACTTTAAGCAATGCCTAACAAGGCTCTCAGGTAATGATCCTCCCTTACTATGCTAAAGTAAAAACTGTCATTTATTTCTCCCTGGAGGCCTGCATAGACTCTTTCCCTTGAGAATTCTCATTCTTGAAGTGAGATATCCCAGGACGATCTTAACTTGCATTCCCATGCTCCTTTGTCATCAGACATCTGGCTTTCTTTCACAACAGTCAACCTTTGTATTTCTAAGCTGCTTTCCAGAGAACAGTCACCTATGAAAACTACGTCCAAACCCGAAAGTCAACAGATGGTAACTACGCACAGTTATGTGATCTAGGCAGAGTGTGCACAATCATACTGTCAGCTCTGTCTTTAAGAAATACTGATCCCTGTACTGCTCAAGTTCAAACCTGGAGGGGTTAACTTCCTAAACATGGTAACAGGTCTGGACTAACTGGCTAGTGACATCGACTGCATAATTGCCACTCACCTTAATGTTTGTAATCAGGTTCAGATTCTCAGGCACCTGAGGATTGATCGCAACAAGTAATCCATCGTACCCATTGTCTTGAAGCTTCAATCCTGCTCCTAGGAGAAGAAGTTCTGAACTCAGGGCAAATAGGAGAGTCACAAGCTTCAGCCTGAGGACAGGTCCTGTGCTACTCCTGTGGGCCATGTTGTAGTGAAGCCTCTGGTTTACACACAGGGAGCCTGCTGGGTACCTTGAGGCAGGTGATCAATGCGGAAGCAGATGGCTTCTTCCTGAATTTGGAAGGGCTTGCAATACATGATGTAGGAGCTAGCTTCTTTGAGAAATCTGGGGTGGATCTCTCTGGGACCTGTCTGTGCAAGCTCTTCTCTCAGGCTCTACTCACCTGTTCTGTGGCTAAGCTTCTTCCTGAGTCATAGTTGGACAAGAAACCTTCCACCCCTCCCTAACTCCGTGTCTTCTCAGAAGGAAAGGAGAAACGAGGCAAGAAGGAGCTCAAGAGCAATAGGCTGTCTGTACGCAGGCAGAGCACTGAAATCAGCCAGGCTGCTGAAGTCCACCCAGAGGCCCCTGGTGATTTTCCTTCCCCAGTCCTGGCAACTTCCCCCATCAGCACCACGTCCTTTCTTCACCCGGGGCACTGTACCGGTCGTGAGATTCCATTGCTGTTTTGAAGATTTGGAAATCATCCCATATGCCTGTCCCTAGAGCCCAGGGTCAGGCAGTCTGGGCAAGCTCTGAGCTGATGGCTGGGGTTAGGAGACCAGATACTCCCCTAGGGAGGGCCAAGTGCCAGAAACTTGGATGCTGTGCAGGCCAAGACCTTTCGCCTGGCCCCAATGCCTCTTCTCCTGGTGCTAGGTAGAAGAATGCTTTTCTTTTTAAGCACGCCTCCCCTGGGGATAAGGGCTTGGTCCAGTCAACCTGTACTGCCTGTACCGTCACAGGCTGATGAAGTAGCAGACGTCACAAATACTTTACTCCTTGTATGTGATCTCTGCTAACAACACAGTGCTGTGGAATTTGCAGTTGAACCCTTTTAAATATCGTTCCCTTGATGCAGACATCATTTTTATTCCTTATTTCAAATTCTGATACTTAGCCAGTGGATGAAAGGATGCACATTTTTGTTGAATGGTGGGTTGTACCATCCCTAGCTCATGAGTGACTGTGGTGGCTGAAGAAGTAATGTCCCCCATGCCAAGCTGGTGACACTTCTTGGGAACACTTGGGAGGTACAGCCTTGCTGGAGAAAATAATTTCACTTGAGGTAGGCTTTGGCCATTTAAAACCCCATGTCTTTTCCAGTTCACTCTGTCTACTTTGTGCTCATGGTTGAGGAAATCTCTCAGTGCTGCTCATTGCCACACCTTCCCATCATAATGGATCCTTGTGCCTCTGGGACCATAAGCCAGATAAACACTTTCTTCCTTTTTTTACTTTTTGTATCCTTTCTTCCTTAAGTTGCCTTAGTCGTGGTGATGTATTACAGAAACAGAAAAGTAGCGAATACTGTGTCAAAGCTAAGGCTCAGAAAACCTAAAAACCCTTTCAAGTTGGAGAAGCAGCACAGCGCTAAAATAAGAGTGATGGGCTTCGACTCCTGTTCATCACGATATCGTGCTTCCTCTTAGCTATCAAATTATAATTACAAATTGTCCTTCTCTCATGGGTGTTCTGACCCGTGACCTACAGAACCATGTAGATGACAGCATTTGGTGTCAACGTCAAGGTTGAACCTGGTGACTGGCTCCACACTCAGTGACAGCTATTGCGAATCTTTTTGAAAATCCAAGGGAAAGTTTTGCACAGAGAGCACATCTGGAGACCTTCAGTCATGCGTGCATTCTGTCTGACTGTGGCCCATTTCTGAGGGCTGCTAGGGAGTAGAGGGTGTCAGGACAAGAATAAACCTCCCACTGCCCTCCGTGTGGAGGCCACACGAAGTCTGTGTCGTGCTCTAATGGACATTATCAGGGTAGGCTCGTTGTCACTCTTCTTTCTCCAAAAGCTGGAGTCTTTGAAGCAGGCCCTTGGGCTCCTGCCTGTGTCCCTGCATGCCATCGTGATAGCATGCAGTCTTCAGACTTACCATGCATGCATTTCCCTTACTGTGCTAGTTACTTCCCTTGTTCCTGCGATAAAATGATTGACACAAACAACTTACAGGAAGAGATATTTACTTTGGCTTGAGGGTATGTATCTCAGGGTTTAGTCCATATTTGTTTGACCCCGTGAGCTTGGGTAGAGTACCATGGCAGCAGAGCATGCCGTTCAAGAACGTCTTTATTTCCCAGCTGACAGAAGGCAGAGAGGTGGGGACTGAGGGCCCACCGAAAGCTTCACAAGTGTGACCTTAGTTACCTGCTTCCTTCAGGTAGACCTCACTTCCTACCATATCCAGAATTTTCCCAGATAGTACCCCCAGCAGGGGACCAAGACTTTAATACAGGATCCAGTAGGAGACATTTCATATTCGACCCATAACACATTCTGTGAGTCTCACTTTCAAAAATAAGTACTATTAGCATCATTGTTATTACTACTGTCGTGACATATAACTCTGTTTTTCTTCCTCTCATTGCTTATAAACTATGTACTATAGGAAATGTTTAGGATCTCAAAGAACCAGGTTGACTCCTGTCCCCAGGAAGCTGACAGCCTAACAGGACAGATGCTAACCTAGGAAGGGTAAGTTCAGAGGTAACTGAATCATATTTGGAAGCATCTTGTGGCTCAGGAGGGGATGAAGAGAAAGTCTTCATGTAGGTTGAGTTGGGAAGGATGAGTAGATGGTAGGTTACATGGAGAGCATGGGGGGGGCAAATCTGTAATCACCCTGAGGGTAGCACCACATCCACAGAGCCCAGGAATGAGGTGCAGAGCTAAGAGCTGGTTGTAACACACAGAGACAGGGAGGGGACACTTCCCTGTTGGCCTTTTCCTGAGAGCCTCCTTTCTTACCGTTCACCAGATTTTCCTTCAAATTCTAGCTATGGGCTAAAAACCTTACATGAGTGTCTCCATGAGTCATACCTCCCCTTTCCTGCTCTGACAGCATTAGATGTCTGTATTCTCCTTTGATGTACCATCCTGGGTCCATTTACATCACATAGTGATGTTGGCTTTCTGTGCTGGCTCTAGGAGATAAGGGACATGGCTACTTTTGCTTACTACTTTCCCAGCATCTCGCTCTATGAAATCTGAATAAATATTTGTTGAATGAACAAATGCATTCGGGAGAAATAAGAGCTAGATCATGAAGGAGCCTAGATTATGGCGTGAAATGCATGTCCCCATCTCTCTCTTAGAAAAAGTGCCTTCTGTTCAGGAAGCTTTCCCTTTCGCTTCTGCCTGATAGACAGCGCTTGGGTCTTGGTGTTCCCCTGGGTGTGCTGGAGAAAGGAATGTGGTTCACCCAGTGACTGCCAAACTCTCACCTGCAGTGCCGCCCATCACTCCTTGCCTTCTGAGGCTCCTCTGCCATGTGGAGTTTTCCCACTGGCAACTCCCAAGGGCAGCCATGGATGTTGACTCACTGAGCAGGACAAAGCTCTTCTATTTAACTTTCCTTCCTTCTTTAGGCCAGTCTCTTGTGCTTTTTAAGAAAGAGTAGTCCCTGCAGTAAAGCAACACTTACGAAAATGAAACTCCTATGAAGTGCTTCTGGCCATCATATAGAGAGTCACTCATTGGACAAGAGGACAACTGAGGATTATGTCCAGTCTCTCTCTGTTTTTGTTAACAGTTAACGATGGCTGCATTAGGATGCAGGTGTGGAGGGCGTTGGCTATATAGAATACATGTAGCTTTGCAAATTAAAGCTTTTCAAAATTGAATAGGTAATCTTGTCCAACCTCACCAGGTTAAACCCAAACAGGTGTGCTGGTACTTTGCTTATCTTGTACTGATAGTTTAGGCTTGGCATCCATTCTTGTCTCTACTTTCTATCTCCTTTGTTCTAGACCTCTCTCTTGTCACTGTCCTAGATTTCACTATTATCATCTGTTCCCTACACGATTCCCAGCCACTCACTCATTTTTGTGAAGGCACCTTGGGAATACATCTATTTCTGAAATCTAGATCCGCCCCCTGGAACTCACTTTGCTGTCAGCATCCGTTGCTGGGGCCAGACCATGTACTGAGATCTTTTTATTACTTTCTCCTTCACCTGGCTGACCCTGCAGGAGATAAAACAAATACAAAAGCTGGAGAAAGTGACTCGGCCAAGTAATTAAAAATCAGTCCTGAGCTCAGTGTTCTGTTCTGATGAAGTGGATTTGAGTGAACAATTGATCCTTTTGTGTTTGTAGAGCTGATGATGCCTGGTGAAGTGGGGAAAAAAGTGGAAATGTAATTTCCAAGGGCTCGTTTCAATGTTCTATGAAATGCATGACTCTGCTCTGCTTTTTATCTGCTTTCAAGAAAATAAGTTACTCTTATTTCAGTAACTCAAGAGTCAAAACCCATTTTTGCTCACTGTCTGGTCTGCTGGCCAGCTTGGCCTTTGGAGGACCTGTGTGCTTCTTTTCATGAAGACTGTTGGCACACAGCAATGGGCAAACCAATGAAACATGTGATAAGAAATTCCATGCCTTTTTAGATCAGATTGTCTTTTAATTTATATTCATTGTCAAACCCAAGGGGTAAGGTGGAGAGTCCACATAACTCCTGGAAAACCATTTGTGCTTGAGTCTTTATCTTGTCAAACCATGGCGATGGAGAACAAGAGGTGAGATTAAATGAAGCTAGGGTAGAAATGAGCTTATCAGCAAACCAAGCGGCTCTCACGGGCTGCTTATTGAGGAGTGGTAATGAAAAGATTCCAAAACTGAACAAGACAGGGGCATGTTTCAGGGAAGAAGGAGGCACTGAATTTGGATCTTGTGAAGAATTTCCCACAGTAAAGAATTGGGAGCTTCACAAATGATTATAACCAATATGCTTGTATGGTGTTCTGGAGTTTTAAAAAGAATTTCTTACATTTATTTACTTGCATGTGTGTGTGTGTGTGTGTGTGTGTGTGTATGTGTGTGTGTGCGATGGTGTGCAAGTGGAGGTCAGAGGACAGCCCGTGAGAATCTCTCCTCTCATTCTACAATGTTGGTCCCAGGGATTGGACTCAGATCCTTAGACTTGGTGACAACAGCCTTTGCCCACTGAGCTATCTCTCTGGCCCTGCTTTTGCAGTTTTCAAAGCACTTCCTTATACCTTACTTTCCAAAGCTCAGGAAGTTATGACTTTCCCTTTTGACTAAATTAAAAATCAAATATAGGTAGTTATCTTTTC